AAACAGACTAATATTACTTTAGTAGTAGCAAATTCAAATTGTTTCGATGGTTCCGTCCAAGGGGTAGGTCACTCCGCACACCAATCTTGGGTCAACATTTTTTCAGAGTGCCGCAAGTGTACCGCTGGTGTGCCGATTGTGCCGGCAGTGCTGGGCATAGAGCAAGCCGAACTTTTTCAAAAAATGCGAATAGTATGGTATATTTGACAACCCAGTGTTTCTGACAGCTTGAATGTTTAGGTTTGCAATCGCAACTACCCCGAAAATTTCGAATATCGTGCTCGATAAGGATTCCTTCTACCGACGAATAAAACGCCTCTATGCCAGCTGGAAGGAACCAGAGTCCATGATGATTCGCTGCAGTAGGTGGATTGCATTCTGATAGCAGTCGGCGTAGACGAGGAAACCAACATGGCCAATTTTGAAAAGCTGCTAGAGGCGATTAAGGGATCCAAGGATGGCAAAACGTTGAGCGTCTTTTCCAAGAACAACTTCCCGGGTGAATTCTGTGAATCGTGGCGAGCCTTCATCAAGGACACTTCGACATGGTGGACATCAGCGTCTCAATCGCGTACATCACGCCCTCCAAGGAGGACTCCACGGTTATCACCAACAGACGGTAGACGTATTCAACAAGTACCTCAAGGATCACATCATGTAGATTATGGATGCTGATAAGAAAGTAAAATGTGCCAAACTGTCGGAGGGTGTCGAGCAGGCACTGCCCAACTAACAATTTTAGCTGCAGACTAGCTTATACAGCCGAAAATTGCCTTATGCAGCTAATGTTTGTCTGTATAAGCTGATCTGCAGCTAAAATTGTTTGTTGGGTGAAGGATAAAAGGTACGTCTCCGGTGTGGATACCAACTAGTTGGACATGTACTACCCGGCGATTATCCAGTCGGGTGGTAATTACAGCTTAAAGTTCAGTGCATTCAGCGACAAGAACTATCTGCACTTTGGATCGATCATCTGTGCTCTGGGTGCGCGTTACAAGTCCTACTACTCCAATGTCGTCCGAACGTTGCTGGTCAATCTGACGGAAACAATTCAGAAGCACTACACCTTACTGTTCAATCTGGAAGATGAATTGCTGAAGGTGATCATTACGGGCAAGAAGCTCTAGGAGGTTTTCGACGTCGGAATGATTTATACCAAGAAGAAGGATCTCAAGCTAAGACGTTGGGTTTTACCATCGGATTGGAGATCCGGGAGAATTCGATCCTAGTACCTCAATAAGTTACATTCAGTTTAAAAAAATGTAAGTTAATTAGGGGCTGTTCATAAACTACGTAGACAGTTTAGGGGGGGGGGGTTGACAATTATCCACGGCCCATACAAATTTTTAAAAAATTTGTATGGAAGATTGTCTACGCAGGGGGAGGGGGGGGGGGGTCAAGAATCCCAAAAAACTGTCTACGTAGTTTATGAACAGGCCCTTAGTTTAAGATGAAGCAATAAAAATTCCGTTTGATTGTGCCGTGAAAATTAGTTCGGTATTGTTAAAATGAGCTTGGTTTGGTAGACAACCAATTGACCGACTACTTTTCACGGCACAATAACACGAAATTTTTAATGCTTCCACTCAACCTAATAAACTTTTATTTTTATTAAAAAATCTAGAACCATTTATTTCATCTCGTATAAGATGACACATATTTGAAAATAAAACTATTCTTTTACTTAATTATAATTTAAACGGACATCTTGCTTCAAATTTACATACGTCGCATCGGTGATAAGGCCACAGTTGTTACCCTTCACCGCCATCAAAGCATATCCATCGTTGCCCCAGTAGTTGGACCAGTAGTTCTTGATTAGCCAGTAATCTTCTCCTTTGAGTTTTCCGTATCCAACCGCCGCCACTGCATGATCCAATCCATCCAAATTGCTCTTGCATTCCGGTTCGTAGTACCAACAATCAATACGAAACTAACAATTTAAAATTGGCTCACTACTTGACTAGTCTATTGGTCCCAAGCAAATCGATTAACCGACCCCATTCTATTTGAAATTCTAGTACTACACTATGTTTGTTTTGATTCGATATGAAAGTTTGACAGATAAAATGAGGGGTTATTGGTTTTTCCTATGTTTCGAGGGGTGAATCGATTAGCTTGGGACCGAAGAGAGTACCAGAGCTGAGCCAAAAAGTTGAGCACGTTTCTTCGGGACCTTCTTGTCTTAGAGTTACCTCTATGCTAATACTCTGTTTCGAGAGGTTGAAGCCCGGTGACAGGTGGACTTCATTTACATCGACTTTTCAAATGCATTTGACACAGTGCCACACGTGTACGCTGCCGAAAAATTAAGAGCTATTGGATTCCCTACTTGGTTAGTTGATTGGATTTTCTCTTACTTGGACCGACCGCCATTCCTTCGTTTCGATCAATTCTGCACGCTCGAAGGCCTTTGCAATTACTTCGGGAGTACCGCAAGGAAGTGTGCTCGGCCCAATGCTGTTTGTCCTTTTCGTCAACGATCTGTGCCTTCAGATTTCTTCATTTAAGCAAATGTTCGCCGACGACCTGAAGATGTTCAGAGTCATCGCGACCGTACTCGACTGCCTCGCCCTGCAAAATGACATAAATGGGCTACTCCTATGGTGCCAAGAAAATGGTATGAGTGTCAACACAGGAAAATGCAAGGTGATATCGTTTTCCCGTCGGAGCACCACCGTCAACCACCAATACACAATTGGATCCGTGTCATTAGAGCGTGTTACCTCAATTTGTGATCTTGGTGTTACTATTGACTCGAAGTTAAGATTCAACGAACATGTTGCACTTGTCACGGCTAAAGCTTCTACGGTTCTTGGAAGCATTCGACGCTATACGTGGCAGTTTACAGACATTTTTGCACAAAAAACATTGTTCTGTACTTTGGTACGTAGCATCCTGGAATACGCGGCCTCTGTCTGGACACTTATCACGCATCGCTGATCATCAGAGTCGAAAGAATTCAGAAGGTTTTCATTCGATTCGCGCTGCGCAACCTTCCATGGAACGACCCGCTAAATCTGCCTGACTACACTGCACGCTGTATGCTGATTGATTTGGAAACCTTACGTGCTAGGCGCACAAACATTCAGCAACTAGTTATTTTCGACTTACTGCGTGGCAACATTGATTGTCCTCAACTACTACAGGATGTACCTCTATACGTTCCACCCCGACAGTTGAGGAGCTCACAACTTGTCGCTGTGCCGGCTCACCGGAGTGGTTACGGTTTCAACAATCCATTCGACGCTTGTCTGCGAGCTTTTAACGATACCAACGAGGATTTCGATTTTGTGATTTGCAGAAGTACTTTTAAAATAGGATTAAGAATATAAGGTAAAGTAGTCTGTACGATTTTTATTTTTAATCGAAGATGAAACAACAAATAATCAAATTAACAAATAAACAAACTATCCCTAAGTATAACGCCCTTTCCTTTGCATAATAACAGTTAACAATCGTAAACATTCGCTAATGATGTTTTACAATGCATTCGTAGCATGTTATTGTTTTATCTACATCTGTGCTTCCATAATTCAATGGAAGTTTTCAAGTTATTTATGCAATTCCCAAAAACGTGACATATGCGAAACATTTTTCGTGATTAAAGCGAGAATTAAATTAAAACCCAGATAAAACCGAAATTCCACTGTATGACATGCATGCTTGGCATACACAGTTTTGGTTACGAACTGCTCATTTGCTAATAACTTTGCACACGGTTGACAAAACAAAGTTTTTTTTTAAAGCAATCGATAGAATCGAGTTTAAGCTTGTAATAGATACGTAGTAGATTTTAATTCTAGTAACAAACTGTATTTATTTTTGCGTTGTAAAAATGAAATGAGTAATGCTTGCTGCACATCTCGGACTTTCAGTGTAAAAATACATTGGTGTTGATTCAAATGTTAAGATTTACCTATTCTTTGCATGTCTATAGTAAACTATAGACATTCAAAGAAAAACAAATTTTATCAACTGAGTGAAAAGTAATTAACAAATGAGCAGTTGGTGTATAAAACTGTGCATGTCAAGTATGTTTACTTTTCAATTTGAGAAATATTCCAAAAAAAAAATGGTGACACCAATCTGTAGCAAACAGACACCCTCTAGTCAAAATATTGATTCCAACCGGCTCATCTGTGTACGAACTAAAACCCAGACGGACATTACCTCCCGGAATGCACCAATCACCATCGAGAATGATAAGATGTTGTGGAGCATACACGTATGCGCATAGCTCATGCTTCCAATTACAATTCTCATCACTAAATGAAATATAAATGGCGCGAGATGCTGGAGCCACATCGTCAATCAACAAACAACTATCAACAACAACCGATCTTGCTCATTATTTTTGTGAATCAAGCAATACTTTGTAGAAGAATAGCTTTGAAACTAACTTACTCGTAAATGAAAACACAAAATAATTTATTTACAAATAGTTGAAACCGGAATATACTCCAGAAATGCCGCACCTCGTGGACTACTACAATCCGTGAGTATTGTTTTTTTTTTGTTTCTGAAAATCATCATTCTCGTTATGAAATATATATAGAACACGGATACAGATGCTCGAAAACATTCCCAGCCGCTAAATATAAACCGACAAAACACATTCGTTGAACTGGAGGCTTGTCTTGAACTTTCCGGCTGACCTTAGCGGAGTCTCGGTCTGTTATCATTTCATTGTATTATTGTGTATGTGAATGATGGTCCCACTTACTTACGCAAAACAATTTTCTTCTCCACTGTTCGCCCGTCCTCCAGAAATGATAATGATGCAAGTCGTTCCTCTTGCTGCTGCGCTGGGCTGTTTACCCAGGCTGTGTGGCAGCTGGTGTTTATTTCCAAAAACATGAACTTTGTTATTCTCAACACACGCGTCGCCAGTATTGTTTGGAAGTATTGAAACCGGCTACTGGTCGTGTTCCATACTGATAACCGACCGTCAGTTCCATTCTCTCGATTGCATATATAGCCGATGCTGCGAGCCAGAGACTCTATTACCAAAGCCAACCGGTTCAGAACAGCATCTACTAAGAAGTGAAAGTTAAATCAGAAACGGGCGAAGCCGTGGTGTAGCATTGAAGAATTTATTGTTTTGCCTGTGATTCACAGTAGCTTGTAAGTGAACTAAAATGGTCAATCTATCCGCTTTACTTAGGCTCCCTGCAGCGATGGGGAGTCCCAAGTTGAAGACAGTCCCAAAGGCGATCTACAACCACCTTCGAGGATTCCCAGTCGTCAACGGCGAAATCACACAGCTCTCGTCAAAAGTTCGAGACTTTGTAGAACAATCGGCTGCCCTCTGCCAACCGGAAAAAATTCACATCGTCGACGGTAGCGAAGACGAAAGCAGAACCCTGTTGAAAATACTTCACAACCAAGGAACGATTCAACCCCTACCAAAGTACGACAACTGTTGGCTAGCTCGAACCAATCCAGCGGACGTAGCTCGGGTGGAATCCAAGACGTTCATCTGCACCGAGAAACGGGAAGAAGCGATTCCCACCCCGAAAGAAGGTGTCAAAGGAGCCCTTGGAAACTGGATCTCTCCCGAAGACTACAACGCAGCAATTCAGGCACGCTTCCCTGGATGCATGAAGGGTCGCACCATGTACGTCGTTCCTTTCTCCATGGGACCGATCGCTTCCCCCTTGGCCAAAACTGGAATCGAAATCACCGATTCGGCCTATGTCGTGAACTCAATGCGCATCATGACCCGGATGGGAGAAGATGTACTGGACAAACTGTCCGATAACTCGGTAAGGCCTTTCATCTACGGTTGAGAAATATCATTGAACTAATCAATACCCTCTTCCCACAGGACTTTGTCAAATGTTTGCACTCGGTTGGAACCCCAGCCAATGGTAAAATCTCTATGCCTTCCTGGCCTTGTGACCCAGAACGGACCATCATTCTGCACAAGCCGGACAACAACGAAATCGTATCCTACGGATCCGGCTACGGTGGCAACTCGCTGCTCGGCAAAAAGTGCCTCGCTCTTCGCATCGGTAGCACCATCGCACGACGTGAAGGTTGGCTCGCCGAACACATGCTCATCTTGGGCATTACCAATCCCAATGGTGATAAGAAATATATTGCTGCCGCCTTCCCGTCCGCCTGTGGCAAAACCAATCTAGCCATGATGAACCCTACGCTACCGGGATACAAAGTCGAATGTGTCGGTGATGACATCGCTTGGATGAAATTCGACTCCAAAGGTCAACTGCGTGCCATCAATCCGGAGAATGGATTCTTCGGTGTTGCTCCGGGAACCTCGTCCGCCACCAACCCGAACGCCATGAACACCATCTACAAAAACACCATCTACACCAATGTCGCCTCCACATCGGACGGAGGAGTCTTCTGGGAAGGAATGGAGGAAGAACTAGCTCCTGGAGTCGAGATTACCGATTGGCTCGGTCAATCATGGAAGAAGGGCGAATCGAAATCTCCAGCTGCCCATCCAAACTCCCGGTTCTGCGCCCCGGCTAGTCAATGTCCAATCATTGACCCCGCATGGGAAGACAACGAAGGCGTACCAATCTCAGCCATTCTCTTCGGAGGTCGACGACCTGCAGGTGTCCCCCTGGTCTTCGAAGCCAACTCTTGGTCGCATGGAGTCTTTATCGGTTCGGCGATGCGCAGTGAATCAACCGCTGCAGCTGAACACAAGGGCAAGGTCATCATGAACGACCCGTTTGCGATGCGACCATTCTTCGGATACAACTTTGGCGACTACCTGAAGCACTGGCTCAGCATGGAACAACGGGCGGCCGAAGTTGGTGGCAACATGCCCAAAATCTTCCACGTCAACTGGTTCCGCAAGAATGACCAGGGCAAGTTCCTGTGGCCCGGATTTGGCGAAAACAGCCGAGTGTTGGATTGGGTTCTGCGGCGAATCGACGGTGAGGAATGCTACCAACAGACACCGATTGGTCGCCTCCCAACGCCCGGATCAATCAACATGGACGGCTTGGGCCAACGAATTGATGAAAAGGAACTGTTTTCGATTCCAAAGCCGTTCTGGCAGAAGGAAGTCGAAGAAATCAAGCAATACTACGATAATCAACTGCCTCACGATCTGCCCCAGGAGATCGGTAAGGAGTGGCAAGAACTGAAGGGCCGCGTGGAAGACATGTAATGACTGTGTAGATTTAGCTCTTTAGTTTAGGAACGATAATTTATAACCACAAACAGTGTAAATTTTGTAAGTATTAACGTGTACACGAGTAGTGTAAATAAAATAAGAACTTTTTTGTACGAATCTGAAACTGTTCATTCCAATGCCGTAGAGAATTTCTTCTAAATCATTCGAAACTAGCCGTCAAGCAATTACGGCTAACCACATTTGAATAAGTAGTTTTTATTCGAAAGAAACTGTGACCGACATCATACAGGAAAATACGTCCGCTCCACTTTGGCGGGAGGCTACACCGGGCAAGAGAAGAGATGAGTCAAATCAAATAAAAAGTTTTACGCTTGGCTCCGCTCCAAGGCTGAATCAACTTGTGCGGTCAAGGGAATAGGTAATGTGGTGCTAGTGATAGGTAATATTTATTGCGTATTTCGTTCATTTTAGATCATATGTATGTGATTTGTGCTTATCATGCTCGTGGCTGTGATGGTGCTAAATTGTGAACGCTAACTGAATGGAAGGCCGCTGCGTGTAAGCTGACTTTTTTGATTGAAACCAAAGTCTTCAAGTGAATAATTTCATTTGATGGGAGTGTCACAAGTGACAACTACGCAGTTTTAATCAACTTTGTTTACATTATTCACATGCATTTTTTTAGCTTCAGATGCACAGTGGATTGAAACAAATTAATAGCTCCTCAGTAGTGCAGCAATTTGGTATCTTTTAGAAAAATTCAGTCAGTGTGGACCAAATCAATTTCAGTTCAGCAGCATTGGTTATATGCGGTTTTGTTTTATATCTTCTGAATGACTTGATGGCAAGTTCAACTTTATCAAGGCTCTGAAAAGTTTCATTCAAAGGCTACAAAAACGATATTTTTAAAGCTAAACTCCGTTGAGCTGAAGTTTGCATCCACAAAGCAGGCTTTGTATAGCTTAGTCGTCAGGTTACTGGCTATTGCAAAATTTCATTCATGAATTGAAAGAAATTAAATGCTCTACAGCACGTAAACAACCCAATTACCGATAGGGTTAACTACCCCATTTCCGGCCTATTAAGCACAACCCACACTTAGTCTTTCTTAATCTAGCGCAGTTTAGTACCAAACGGAATGTTATTATTACTGATGGCTTTCAAATTTATTTACCTTTCCGTACGTACCGTAAGATTTGATAAAGAGAAACCAATTGTTGAGAAATTGTCAAAAGTCTAACACTACTTCTTGACGCCAAACTCGGCCTACGGACTCTAAACTCGGCCTAACGCATTGAAACGCCATTGAAACGCCAATGAATTCACTTTGGCCTATCGGGGCGCCTCTTTTGTTTTTGGGAATAATGGGTGCAAACCTTCATATCACGCGTTCTCATTGACTTCGTTCCGTAGCTTATTAACTAAAGTATCGTTCCAAGCGCATAATTGACTTGTTAACTCTGAAATCATGGATTTATTTGAAGTGTTCTGCTTGATAGGCCCCAAATGGGCGATTAGGCCGAAGTAGTTCTCTACCCTATTATATCGATACCGTCGATACACTGCTACCCTGAGTTAGGTTCCTAGCAACCAGCAACCTATGCAATGCACAGTGGGGATTAAAGGGACAAAAAGGATTAAAACTGTCTGCCGCTAAAATCCTAAATTATTATTCTCTTCTTCTTTGCATTTGAAGCTGATTGCTACGGATCTTAGCTTATTGCGTACTCTCAACTTAATGTTCTAGATGCACTTCCACAGTTATTGATTGAGAGCTTTCGATGCATCTGTCATTTTGCATTAGTATAATTGTGTGGCAAGTACAATTTTGCTCTATGCCTAGGAAAGTTGAGAAACTTTCCAACCCGAAAATATCCTAGACTGGACCGGGAATCGAACCCAGCCATCTCCAGCATGTTCTTGCTTTGTAGCTGCGCCTTTATCGACTGAGCTAATGGAAATCAAAAATATGTATAACATTTCTAACATTCAGAATCATAAGGGCCTAGCTGCGATGATCGATTCTCTTCATCGATTTTCTCTTTGTATTAGTATACTTAAGTGAAACAATTTTCCGATTTTTCCAATACAGTGATGCAAAAGGATGCATTGGCTAGCAGAAGCAACATCAAAGGCAGCGAGAAAAATTAATCTAGATGCGTTATTAAAAAAAAAAGAGATCGAAGTAGGCCGCGCTGCAAAAATGACGTGTTTTTGTTTTGCTGCGTCGTTTTCGTTCTAGTGAAATGTTATAAATTTACATTTTCATTTTTAAAAAAAGTGTTAATTTGAAAGTACAGAAGTGATGTTGAAAAGGGCATTAGTGAAAATTTTCAAATTCTTATCCGTTGCATGTGGTGCCGACTGTTCTAACCTACGCGTAGTTACGCTCAGCTATGTTTATTTACCTTTTCGTTCCTCTGTCATCGATAGGAAATAGGGAAGAGCACTACTTCATCGTAATCACCCATTTCCGTTCTATCGAGCAGAAATCATCAATAATATCAATGATTTCACCGTGCACAAATCAATAATACGTTTGTCCCGACCCGTTAGTTCACAAGCCACAACATGAAGCCTAGTACAGCGCATTGTATGAATATTTACACTCATTGTTCTCAAAACAAAAGAAGCGCTCCTAGCGAATCCACTTTTTGTACCATCATTCGTAGGACGAAGAAAATCTTATGGTGTTTCAATGCGTTAGTACGGAATTGAAACTCGTAGGACGAATTTAGAACCAAGAAACAGTGTTAGATTTTTAATAATATCTCAACATTGTTTGACTCTTTATGAAATCCAACGGTACGTATGGAAAGGTGAATAAATTGAGAAGTTCCCGCATAAATCACAACCATACGATTACCACATTGAAAATGGTTTATCTTCCTCTGAAAACCATAATGAGAAAGGTTCAGTCAACTTTAATCAAACCATACCTAGATAAAGTTTTGACCATATGGATTAAGGTTTTCGAAGACCCAACCATACGAACAATGGGTGGTTAAGAACGTTCACCATACGGAATCTCGCTTGTTCCCATACATTTTTAGCAGAACAACTATAGCCTTACCACATCAGAAAAGGTTCTAGTTGGATATGTGAAACTATTTCCATTAACTTTCGAATAAGGTAGTACGGTTTAGAACCAACCATTGTTGTTAACTTCCTGATATACTATGAAATGGTATAAATTACCATACTTATTGACGTTATAATAAATACTGTCGTAGCTTATCCGGAATACAGCCATCATGAGCTGTTCTTTAATTTTATTGTGATTTACAAGATTTCTTTTTGTGGATACCTCCCTTGCCCTTGGTAACATGTTTATTGATCTTAATATTAAATGAATAAATAAATTAATTTGCCCTGCAAAACAAACTCCATTCCATTTCTGGAAAATAAAAAGGCCCCGGCAAAACGAACCTGCTTGGATTTCCTTTTTGGATGATGTGAGCCGCCAGCATCGAAATCTCCTTCACATGTAAACGGCTGCTAGCCCTGAATATTTGTGTAGAAATTGCATGCACTTTTAAGAAATATTTTATACTTTAAGCTAATATTACCAAAGATGATTTACCGAGGGTTTTAAAAATAAAATAACGAACAAAACAACACAATGAACTTACGAGCACAGTTTCAATCAAAAGCGTTTTCTTCTGTTTGTACCAATTGTAAAAACATAAAGCAACCATAATCGAAACACGTAAGCGTTGTACTAGTTGTTTACAACTTTTATTCGTAATGTTTTGCAACAGTTCAGTATAGTTGATCAACCGTAGCAAAATTTAGCTGGAACATACCAGAAACTGTAACAGTTGAAAGTAGTGTTTCTTTAATGTTTATTACATTCCATAAACCATAACAAAACTATTTTGTGTAAAGTTAACATAGCTAGTAAGGTGTCAGTGAAGTTTGAACTGTTCTAGAAATGGTATTTTTCTATGCGGGTTATCTTTGATGAAAACATTTCAAGTTTTGTTCAAACCCTTTCCAAAAAGAGAGGTAAAGTGCAGGATGTGTAGGACGGAAATTAGATCAAAACCCCTATTCATCTAATTAAAAACGATCATTAACGATCATTTTGTAAGTTTTGAAATTTTCAAAACTTACAAAATACGCGTCAATCAAGTATTGCACTACTGCTTGATTGAAAGTTTCAGTACATTATGAATGGTGTATATTTGCATCGATAATGTATTGGAGCGGGGCTTATCATGTGTGAAAATAGCTTCGGAATGCTTGCGTTCTTGAAATGGGCTATTGTAGCCGCGGTAGAGCTGTCACCTTCTAAATCCCGGGTTCAAGCATCTTGCATTCATAAGCAATGATTGCAGGCAGATTTTATCCATAATGCCACTGCCAGACAGTGGGAGTTAGACCAAGGACGAATCTTCATTCTAATCTTCGATTCCACATACTATCAATAACCTTTTACACATGAGAACCTCTTATCGATCAGAATGAATTTTGCATATGTTTAGGATCAACTAACATGTTCAGGCGCAAAGGAGCAACAGGATCGAGCTGATAACGTTTCTTAATTCCAAAATCTGAAGACTGTTTTGAATAATATGTTTAGGTAATGGGCAGCAACAAAGGACAGATAAACTACTTACAGCTTCTATTTATTAAATCCTTGATATAAAGATTGTCAGCAACGGCGGCTGGGCATATCCTATGGCTTACCCTCTCTACTAACAAAAATCCACCCTTCCCGTGACACTCATGAGGGGTTGTAGAGTTCTCTGCATCTCTCTTAAGTAAGTGTCGGACTAACATTTCTTCTCGTTCCCCACCAGATGCAAGGACGTGGCCAGGACAGCTCTGGTCTGTTGGAGGGAGACACATCCTTTATCTAAGAGGTAGTAATTAATCACAAATTACTATCTAACAGCAACGGATGAAGTTGGGTCTCCTTCTTAACAACAGTTTGGAGCTCTTACCACCTACGACATTGTGCAACCTGGTTTATGCTATGCTATGCTATGAGTTATTAATGCAAGAAAAAATCGATGAAGTAAATCGATTATCGCAGTTAGGCCCTTATGGTTCTGAACGCTAGATTTAGGAAATATATTGTTTTCTTAAGGTAAAAAGTCGTTTGAATCGAATCCGCTTGCGTTTATTCTGCGCAACATAAGT